CTTCCCCACCCTTATCTGCCTGACCCCACTACCAAGGATATATTTCCCTCCCCACCCTTATCTGCCTTCTGGAGAGACGGAGGATGCCTACCCCTAGATGGGAGCGTAGATCAGCCTTGATTTAAAGTGATATGGAAACAAAGCGAGGATCATATGATGAATTCAACTTTGTTACACAGTGAGCAGTTGGAATGCATTGCCTGGAAAAGTGGTGCAGGAAGGTTCAGTTGAGGTATTCAAGAGGGCATTGGATAGTTTGCTTTTGATAGAAGTAGTGTGCAGAGATATGGGGAAAGGATAGGAGATTATAGAAAATGGAGTTGGTTTAGACAGTAGAGTTGTTACAGGCATGATGAGCCGAATGGCCTCCTCCTACACTGTAGTGATTCTCTGATCTTATTGAATGGTAGAGTAGGGTCAAGGGTCTGAATAGTCTACTCTACTTGTATTTCATATGTTCGCCTTGGTATTTCTTGTGAGCTTTGGTTGAGGGTAAGTTCTATGTTGATGAGACTTATAGAATAGAATCATAGGATATTATAGTATGGAAAGAGGCTATTTGACCCATCGTGTCTGTACTAGCTCCTGATCGAGCAACCTAACTAGTCTCATTGCCCAGTCCTACCTCTGTAGCCCTTTAAATTCATCACTTTCAAATTATATTCAGCTGTTTTTCAGAACCTCCTATGGAATCTGTCTCCAGGCAATGCATTCCAAATCCTAACAACTCTTTGAGTAAAGAGAGTTCTTCTTATCTCACTCCTGGCTCTCGTGCTGACAGCCTTAAAATTGTGACCCTTAGTTACTGACATACCAACCAGTGGAAATAAAATATCCTTCTTTATCCTGTCAAAATTGTTCATAATTTTGATTGCCTCAATAAGGTCACCCCTTACTCTTCTCTCCTCCTAGGAGAATAAGCCAAATTTCTCTAATCTTTCCTTATATTTAAAACCCCTCATTCCTGGTATCATTCTAATAAATCTCCTTTGCACATTCTCCAGGGCTTTAATATCCTTCCTAAATCAAGGTGCCTAGAACTGAACACAATACTCCAAATGTGGTCTGACAAATGATTTGTAGAGTTTAGCCTCACTTCCTTATTTTTACGCTGTGTGCCTCTATTCACAAACCCAAGGGTCCTATAAGCCTTTGTAACAACTGTTACAACTTACCTGTTCATATATGTGAACCTCAAGGAACTCTTGATGTCATGACATTAGGAGGTGGTTTGTGTGGTCACATTTTGTTCCAGTGGTCAGGTCACTATACGACAGACTGGTGTCATTCTAACTATGTGCTTCTGGTGCAGTGAGCAGATCAGCAAACAGCAATCTCAAATTGATCGTCTGTATGTGAGCCTGAAGGACCTTGCTGAGGAGCGGAAAGGCAAGCTGGAGCAATATTATTGGCTGTTCCAGTTAAACCGAGAGGTTGATGAACTGGAGCAGTGGATCGCAGAGCGAGAGGTAATAGCAGGATCACCGGAACTTGGACAAGACTTCGAACATGTCACCGTAAGTGAGAAATGTCAACATAAAATTGGTGTGAACTGCATTGCCTTGATATTGACTGCCCTACAGGTGACAAGGGGATATGGAGATGTTGAACTCCAGAAAGCTAAATGGTGAAAGATGGAAACGAAACCAATCTTTGCACACTTTTATAAGCAGTTGTTTGTGGAGTACAACAAGACATGCAACCAACTCCTAACAATCCTAATTACAGTCTGTTGCTATTCATAAGACGATGTACCAACAACATAGGTATAAACAAAGTACGAGATCCTAAAAACAGAATATACGGAGTCAGTAAGTAAGTTTAAAAGTATGACCTAATATTTTAGGATTGCTACCAGTGCCATGTGCTAGTCAGAGTAGAAAGAGTAGAATACATCAGATAAACAAGTGGCTGAAGAGATGATGCAACGGATATCAGATTCCTTGGACACTGGGACTGTTCTGGGGGAAGGAGGGATGGGTTGCACCTGAGCAGGGCTAGAACTGAGGTCCTAGGGACAGTATTTGCTCATGAGAATAGTCAAACAAAAATGGCAGGATGATGGGAATTTATGCAGGGAGATAGAAGAGTTGAAACTAGGGCAAAAACAAAAGACAGAATGGGAAATAAGAAAAGTGACAGGCAGAGAATTCAAGGAGAAGAATCAATCAAGACCAAAGTTTAAAACAACGCAAATGGGACTAAGAAAGTTACAAAGACAAGCCCTTTTGCATTATGCCTCAATGTGCGGAGCTTTCTCAATAAAGTGGATGAACTGGTCATGCCAATAGATGTAAATGTGTATGATATTGTTGGGATTGTGGACATGGCTGCAGGGTGACCAAGTATGGGCATTCAGTTTTTAGAAAGATGAGATTTAAGGGGAGGTGATGGCCCAGTGGTGTTACAGCTAGACTTTAATCCAGTGACCCAGGTAGTGTTCTGGTGACCTGAGTTTGAATCCTGCCACGGCAAATGGTGGTATTTGTATTCAGTAAAAATCTGGAGTTAAGAGCGTGATGGTGACCATGAAGCCATTGTTGATTGTTGGGAAAAATGCATCTGGTTAGCTAATGAATTTAGGGAGTGAAACTGCTGCCCTTACCTGGTCTGGCCTACATGTGACTCCAGACTCGCAGCATGTGGTTGACTCTTATTCACCCTCTGGGCAATTAGGGATGGGCAATAAATGCTGGCCTAGCCAATGATGCCCTCACATCATGAATGAATTGAAAAAAAGAGATGGGTAGCATTCCTTGCTAAAGAGGAGATTAAATAATGTCATAAGCATTTTAGCACACACAGAGTCTAGCGAGAGGAAGGAACTGAGGGAAATCGGTATTAGTAGAGAAATGGTGTTGGGGAAATTGATGGGATTAAAGGCTGATAAATCCCCAGATCCCGATAGTCTCAGAGTACTTAAGGAAGTGGCTCTAGAAATAGTGGATGCATTGAGAATCATCTTCCAAGATTCTATAGACCTTGGAACAGTTCTTGCTGATTGGATAGTAGGTGATGTAACGCATCTGTTTAAAAAGGAGATAGAGAGAAAACGGTGAATTATAGACCAGTCAGCCTGACATCGGTATTGGTGTAAATGCTAGAGACATTATGAAAGCTGAGTACTTGGAAAACAGTGACCGGATTGGACAAAGTCAGTGTGAGTTTGCAAAAGGATATTGTGCTTGACAAATCTACTGGAATTCTTTGAGGATCTAGCTTGTAGAGTTGATCAGAGAAGCCAGTGGATGTAGTGTATTTGGCCTTTCAGAAGGCTTTTGATAAGGTCCTACATCAGAGATTAGCATGTAAAATCAAAGTGCATGGGATTGGGGGTAGTGAAGTGATATGGATATGGTTGTGTAGATAATTGATTGGCAGGCAGGAAACAAAGTAGGAATAAACAGGTCTTTTTTCCACTGGCAGCAGTAACTACTGGGGTGCTGCTGGGATCAGTGTTTGCACTCCAGCTATTCTCGATGATTTAGACGAGGGATACTATCTCCAAGTTTGCACATGACAAAAAGCTGGGTGGGAGAGTGAACTGTGAAGAGGATGCAGAGATGCTTCAATGTGATTTGGACAAATTCAGTGGGAGGGCAAACGCATGGTAGATGGAGTATAATGTGGGTAAATATGGGTTATATCTTTGGTAGCAAAAACAGGAAGGAGATTATTATCTGAATGGTGATAGATTAGGAAAGGGGGAGATGCAATAAAACCCGGGTGTCCTTGTAAACCAGTTGCTGAAGGTAAACATGCAAGTGGAGCAGGTAGCGAAGAAAACAAACTGTATATGTTGGTCTTCATAGGGAAAGGATTCAAGTACAGGAGCAGGGATGTCTTGCTGCAGTTAAACAGGACCTTGATGAGACCACAGTGGAATATGTGTGTAGTTTTGGTTTCCTTAACTGACAAAGGATATTCTGGCTATAGAGGGAGTGCAACGAAAGTTTACGAGATTGTTTCTGGGATGACAAGACTTATATATGAGGAGTGATTGGATTGGTTAGGACTATATTCACGAGAAGAATGAGGGGGATCTCATAGAAACCTATAAAATTCTAACAGAAATAGTCTAGGTAAATGTAGGAAGGATATTCTGATGATTGGCAGTCCAGAACCAGGGGTCATAATTTAAATTATAGGGTAAGCTATTTAGGACTGAGATGAGGATAAATGACTTCATCCAGAGAGTACTGAGTCTGTGGAATTCTCTGCAGAAAGTGGTTGAGGCCAGATTGTTTATGAGAAGGAGTTAGACATCATTCTTTGAGCGAAAGGGATAAGAGTATGAGGAGAAAGCAGGAACAGGGTACTGAGGTGGATGATCGGCCATGATTCTATTGAAAGGCAGAGAAGGCTCAAAGGCCTGGATGGCCTATTCATGTCCTATTCTGTTTGTTTCTATAGGTACACATGTGAAACTCCAGTTCGTGCCCACCATTTGTTAACACAATTCCATCTACAATTAAGAGGAGGATAGGGGTGTTTAATCCTTAAAACATGCAAAATGTGACCAACAATATAGCATATTCTCCTGTCGCCACTTTTATGAGGGATTTGAAATATGTGAGAAAAGGTAGAGTTTCATTGACACATATAAATCAAACTACACATCGCAGTTGTGAGATGGATTTATATTTAGTATTTATATATGGAGGAGTTGCATTACTAATCAGGGAAAATGTTACATCTGCACTCTGTCAGAGAGGACATACTGGAGGGCTCATCTGCTGAGGCAATATCAATAGACCTCAAAAATAAGAAGGGTGTAATTGCTCTGATAGGATTATACTAAAGGCTCCTCAACAGCCACCAAGACATTGAGGAACAAATAGGTAGGCAGATTATGAAAAGATACAACAATAACAGGGTTGTCAAAGAGGGTGACTTTAATTTCCCCAATATTGACTGGGACTCCCTTAGAGCAAGAGGCTTAGACGGGGCCGAGTCTGTTAAGTGCATCCAAGAGGGTTTCTTGAAACAGATGTGGACAGTCCAACTAGAGGAGGGGCCATACTGGACCTGACCTTTCACTGGGAGAGCATTTTGGAAACAGTGAACACAACTTCTTAAGTTTTAAGATAGTTATGAATAATGCAGACCTTGCAGGAAGGTACAAAATCAGGGGAGGGCAAATTATGTCAGTATTAGGCAGGAGCTAGGGAGTGTTAATTGGGAGGAGCTGTAAGCAGGCAAGACCGCATTTGATGTGGGTGAATGTTTAAAGATCTACTGATCAGAGTTTAGGACCGGCTTGTTCCAGTAAAGAGGAAGTAAAGATGGCAAGGTAAGGGATCCTTGGATAACCAGTAGGTTGTGAGTTTAATCAAAAGGAAAAAAGAAGCCTTTGTAAGGTTTAGGAAGCTAAAATTGGAAAGGGCCCATGAGGAATAAAGAAAGCAGGAACGAACTCAAGCAGGGAATTAGAAAGAGCAAAAGGGGCCATGAAATGACCTTGGCAAGTAGGACTAAAGAGAATCCCAAGGCATTCTATATATACATTAAAAACAAGAGGATAAAGGAGGGAAGTTGTGCTTGGAGGCAGAGGATGTGGGTGAGATCCTAAATGAGTACTTTGAGTCGATAGTCACCTAGGAAAAGGATATAGAGGATGGTGAGATTTGTGTAGAGAATGCTAATAGGCTAGGACATTTTGAGATCAAGAAAGAAGTGGTGTTGGATCTCTTGAAGAACATTAGGGTGGATAAGTCCCCAGGGCCCGATGATATCTACCCCAGGTTATTGAGGGAGACAAAAGAGGAGATTGCTGGGGCCTTGACTAAGATCTTGTACCCTCACAAGCCACTGGAGAGGTCCCAGAGGACTGACGAGTAGCTAATGTTGTTCCTCTGTTCAAGAAGGGAAATAGGGATAATCCAGGAAACTACAGACCGGCGAGTCTCACATCAGTGGTTACTAAGCTATCTCAGGGATTGGATTTACGCGCATTTGGAAAGGATGGATTTTCGAAAGGCTTTCGACAAGGTCCCTCATGGTAGCCTCATCCAGAAGATTAAGATGTGTGGGATCCACGGTGACTTGGCCACGTGAATTCAGAATTGGCTTGCCATAGAAGACAGAGTGTCGTTGTGGAAGGGTGTTTTTCTGGCTGGAGGTCCATAATTAGAGGTATTCCGCAGGGTCGGGACCCGTACTGGGACCTCTGTTGTTTGTGATATACATAAATGACTTGGATGAAAATGTAGATGGGTGGGTTAGTAAGTTTGCAGACAGTAGAAATATCAATGGAGTTGTGGATAGTGTAGAAGTTCATCAAAGGATACAGCAGGATGTAGATCAGTTGCAGATACTGGTGGAGAAATGGCAGATGAAGTATAATCCGGGTAATTGTGACGTGCTGCACATTGGGAGATCGAATGTTAAAAAGTGTACAGTTAATAGTAAGATCCTGAACAGCATTGATATACAGAGGGTCTTGGGTTCAAGTCCATAGCTCCCTGAAAGTGGCCAGGCAAGTAGACAGGGTGGTAAAGAAGACGTATGGCATGCTTCCTTTATTGGTCGGGGGATTGAGTATAAGAGTCAGGATGTCATGTTGCAGCTTTGGTTACACCACACTTAAAGTACTGCATTCAGTTCTGGTTGCCACATTACAGGAAGGATGTGGATGCTCTGGAGAGGGTGCAGAAGAGGTTTACCAGATGCTGCCTGGATTAGAGGGTATGAGCTATAGGAGAGGCTAGAAAAACTCAGGTTGTTTTCTCTGAAGTGGTGGAGACTGAGGAGAGACTTGATATAAATCTTTGAAATTACGATATGCATAGATAGGGTTGCCAGTCAAAATATTTTTTCCAGACTTCAAATGTCTAATACTGGAGGGCATTTATTTAAGGTTAGAGGGGGAAGTTCAAAGGAGATGTGAGGGGCAAGTTTTTTACACAGAGAGTGGTAGGAGTGTTGAGCGTGTTGCCAGGGGGTGGTGGTGGAGGTAGATATGATAGGGGTGTTTAAGGGGCTTTTGGATAAAGCACTGAATATGCAAGGAATGGAGGGGTATGGACCAAGGACAGGCAGAAGGGATTAGTTTAATTTGGTGTCACGTTTGGCACAACATTGTGGACCAAAGGGCTCATTACTGCACTGTACAGTTCTATAGAACATAGAACAGTACAGCACAGTACAGGCCCTTCGGCCCACGATGTTGTGCCGAACTTTAACCCTAAACTTAAGGTCTATCTAACCTCCATCCCTACCTTATACTATCATCCATATGCCTATCTAATAGCTGCTTAAATGCCCCTAATGAGGCCGACTCTACTATCCTCTCCGGCAATGTATTCCATGCCCCTACCACTCTCGGAGTAAAGAACCTACCTCTGACGTCTCCCCTATATCTACCTCCACTCTCTTTAAAACTATGTCCCCTCATAATAGCTACCTCCACCCTAGGAAAAAGTCTCTGGCTGTCCACTCTATCTATACCTCTGATCATTTTGTACACCTCTATCAAGTCACCTCTCATCCTTCGTCGTTCTAAAGAGAAAAGCCCTAGCTCTCTCAACCTTTCCTCATAAGACCTTCCCTCCATTCCAGGCAACATCCTGGTAAATCTCCTCTGCAACTTTTCCCAACGCTTCCACATCTTTCCTGTAATGAAGCGACCAGAACTGGACACAGTACTCCAGATATGGCCGAACCAGGCTTTTGTATAACTGGAGCATAACTTCACGGCTCTTGAATTCAATCCCTCTATTAATGAAAGCTAACACACCATACGCCTTCTTAACAACTCTATCCACCTGGGTGGCAGCTTTCAGGGAACTGTGGACATGAACCCCAAGATCCCTCTGCTCCTCCACACTGCCAAGAATCTTTCCGTTAACCCTGTATTCTGCTTTCAAATTTGTCCCTCCAAAATGAATCACCTCACACTTTTCAGGGTTAAACTCCATCTGCCACTTCTTAGCCCAGCTCTGCATCCTATCAATGTCCCTTTGTAACCTAGAACAACCCTCCGCACTATCCACAACTCAACCCACCTTCGTATCGTCCACGAACTTACTAATCCTCTCCTCCACTCCTTCATCCAAATCATTTACAAAAATCACATATAGAAGAGGATCCAGAACAGATCCTTGTGTTATACCATCGTGACTGAGCACCATGTTGAATATTTTCCTTCCACTACCACCCTTTGTCTTCTAAGGGTCAGCCAATTCTGAATCCAATCTGCCACATTTCCCCCTTCTCCCATGCCTCCTTAGGCATGAGCCTCCCATGGGGAATCTTGTCAAACGCCTTACTTAAATCCATGTATACCACATCCACTGCTCTACCTTCATCCACGTGTTTGGTCACCTCTTCAAAGAATTCAGTAAAGTTTGTGAGGCATGATCTACCCCTCACAAATCCATGCTGACTATTACAAATCAAACTGTGCCTATCCAAGTGATCATAAATCCTATTTGTCAGAGCCCTTTCCAGTAATTTGCCCACCACTGACGTAAGACTAACTGGCCTGTAATTTCCAGGGTTATCCCTATTCCCTTTTTTGAACAAGGGAATGACGTTTGCCTCTCTCCAATCTTCCGGCACTATACCCGTGGACAGTGAGGGCGAAAAGATCATCGCCAAAGGTCCTGCGATCTCTTCTCTCACTTCCCATAGAATCCTTGGATAAATCCCATCAGGCCCAGGGGACTTATCTATGTTTTTGTAGTTACTGTGTCCAAAGGCTAGGATTAATGAAAAGAAAACAGACATCAAGGAGGTGACAGGAGGAGCATGATCCTCACCTTTACCCATCAATTGCCCCCTCCCATGATGGTTTTGCATTGTATAGCTCACAGCTTCCCATGGCCCCAGTCTCTTCCCAGTCCCTCCGGCTCCGACCTCTCCCCAGACCTGCCAGCCCCAGTCTCTTCCCAGTCCCTCCGGCCATGAGTTCCTGCCCTTTCTCTGCCGACACGCCACTCCTTGCTGGTTTGAGTTATTACTCACTCTGACATTGAAGAGGTGAGACAGCTCACGGGATCCAATCTTGTCTGTCCCCACCGAGAACGGGAGTTGACAGAAGCACTAAGAGGACACCAGCAGACATAGTCTTGCTGCAGAATACAGAAACCATCTTTGTCATGTGTTACATGCACGTATACGAACACACACACACACACACACACACACACACACACATGCATGAACACACACAACACATGATGCAGATACACATGACGTAGGCACACGTGACATAGACACACACATGCATGAACACATGACGCAGACACATGCATGAACAACACAGACACATGCAGACACTGTGTTGGAGTTTTGGACACTTGTTGCTTGTGATTTTTGGATTTGTGTTGTTTCAAGTTGGGGTTTGCAGGATTTTAAGAAATTGTGGATTTGGGGTTTTTGTGAGTTTGATGTTTTCATGAGATTGCGATTTTTGTAGATTTAGTATTTTGGAAGTTTGGCAATATCAAGGGTGCATAGGGTTTGAAATCTTTTAGGTTATTTAGGAATTTAGGGTTTGGGTTTTGGGGATTGAGGTTTTTGTGGGGGATTGGGGTTTTTGTGGGGGATTGGGGCTTTTGTGGCGGATTGGGGTTTTTGTGGGGGATTGGGGTTTTTGTGGAGGTTTGGGGTTTCGGAGATTGGGGTTTTGTGGGAGTTTGAGGTTTTTGAGGGGGATTGGGGTTTTTAGGAGTGTGTGGGTTTTTTGGGATTTGGTGTTTCCAGGGTTTTGGGAATTGGAGGTTTGAGGATTTTGGGGGTTTTTCAATGATGTACTGGGCTCTGTAATCTAAAGTCCCACAGCCAATTAGAAGCAGTACATCATCTCAGTAGAAACTGAGGGACAGCAGGGGTCACCTCTGTCCCTCTTGGCTAAGGTCAGGTGGTGGGAGCTGCATATCTTCTCAGAATTTCATCACTTGGGTGGCCAAAAGATTGAGTTTAAAATGTGCGAATTTCTGTGGATCTGCATTTGTTTGTATTTCCAACATTATTGTTAAATTCTCTTCAAATGTTTTTATCCTCTAATTACAGTGGTACAGAGGTACCTTAATCATATGGGTAGTGTAGGAAGGAGGAGTGAAACAGATGGGCAGGTGGCCCCATGTGTAGAAAGGTGTCCGATGGAAAGTTTGGTCCCCAGTGCCGTGATCTTCACCACGGGTGGAGCAAGATTCTGAATCCATCCCGGCCGGAACAAAGATCGAATCCCATGCGGTTGACATCAATCCACTCTGACTGTGCAGCCAACTGTGCCAGAGAGTCCACGTTGCTGTGGTAACCTTGTGGTAACCTGCCTGTTATAGTCCAGCACTCTGAATGGGGAGCCTCCTGCATTCCTTCCATCCCATGGTTGACCAGGAATCTCTCCCCCTCTAACCACATGCCATTGTTGTCTATAGGAAGGCTTTACAGGTTGATAACCAACCTTCCTTAACACGCCTCCCTGGGCCTTGAAGTCTTAGAGTGGGACCTGAACCCAGAACCTCTGGCACAGACACAGGGATGCTACCCACTGCCTCACGTCAACCTCCTACCCGGTGACCATGTATTAGACAATAAATTAGAGGGAAGGTTTGTGGGAGATTTCTGAATGAGCTTCCACTTCAGCAGCAGCTCACATGAGCAGGTGCCTGGAACTAGTGCTGTAGCAGCAGGAGAGCAGTCCTGGACCAGGCTGAGGGAGAGCAGGGAACAGGCCTGGACCTGGCCGAGGGGGAGCAGGGAGCAGTCCTGGACCAGGCCGAGGGAGAGCAGGG